GCCTGTTGTGACCAGAGAAAGCACTTTAGAAAGAACTGAACATCCTAGTCTGAGCCAATTAGTAACACAATTGATTTTTGCAAGTCTGACAGAAAGAAAGGGGATTACTGGAAATGGCTGATGCTTTTTCTAAAATGAGAACACATATTTGGGGGGAGAGACAAACCAAAAACCAACCTGGAGAAAAGATATTGTCACCAGAGGCTGGTAGATGAATGTGTTTAAAAAGCTACTTTCAATGGATCTGAATAAATGTTGCAAAAGAATATTGTCCCCTACAGGAGGGGAGAGTGCTCTTGCGCTCAAATCCTGCTTGCTGGTTTCCCATAGGCACCTGGTTGGATATTGTGAGAACAGAATGCTGGATTTTATGTGTCGTTGGCCTGATCCAGCAGGCTCTTCTCATATTCTTTTGAGAAGCTTTCTCAACATTTACTTGCTTGAATTCTGCCTGCGGGGTAGACTCTGCAGAACACTGGCAGCTACCAGTGCTCATCACAGGCTTTGGGAAAGCCTCAGGCAGAGCCAGCCCACCCATGAGGTATGGTAAAGCAGCTGCCTCAGGCGGCGGAAGCTCAAGATGCGGCACCCTACTTGCCCAACTGCTTCTACCACTTCCTGAATGCCAGTGTTGCTGTTCTTCCCTTCCCCTAGGGCAGAGAAGATGAGTAGCAAGGCCTTCCAGAATGCCTTCTGCCACACCATGTTATGTGAGAGGGGTGCGTTCTGGTATGTGGCATTGCCGCTCGCCTTCCTCGTCCTTACAGTGGAGAAGTTGAGTGGCAAGGCCTTGCAGAACGCCCCCCCCTCCCAGGTTTTGATGAGAGGAGGGCATTCCTTCCCCCCCATTTTTTAAAATTGGTTTTCCAAAATTTTTAAACAGACAAACAAACATAGATCTTAACTGTACTTAATCCAGTCTTAGCAACATTGTTAAGTGACTTCCTCAAATCCCCCTTGTAGGGATATTGTGGAGTGGACAGTGAGGTCCGGAGGGAGCACACTCTCCACCAGCAGGCAGCCACAGTCTGCCTGCACGCGTGACCCTGGGGTGCAGGAAAAACTCCCCCTCAGACAAGCCACAGCTGTCAGGAACATCGTTCCCTATGTCTGACCTTTTGCGGTCTCAGCAGTCAGTGGTGTCCTGTCTGTAACCTTTGTCCCTGAGACCTTTTGTCTCCTTCGTCATACACTATGCAAGGGGAAAATGGCACTGTGGAAAACAGGTGCCAAAATAACTTTGTACCACCCCACGATCTCGGGACGGAAGATGTGTAAAGGTCACAGCCCAAAATGTATCTGCCTGGCTTGCATATTTGTCTCAATAAAAGGAGGCTCCACAGGACTGGCAGCAGCTCGCTTCAGCCCACCTGTGTGCAGCTCACATGATGATCAACTCCTGTCTTGGGCCTTCACTTCACCCCCTGGCTGAATTTCAGTGTATATCATTGTAACAGTTTTCCAAAACAGATTTCTCATAAAATTAACTTAATCACTTAACATCTTTCTTTCTTTTCATTTTAACTTTAAACATATTATTCTATAACATCACATATTTAAATCCTAAGCCTATCTGTTATTTGCAAGTTTTTCCAATTAAATTATCTTAGCATATTTAACTAAATAGTCTTTGAATTTCATCCGTTCCTCCTGGTACTCCTCCTCCTTCTGTTCGCGGATTCTTCCAGTAAGGTCAGCTAGCTCCGAAAAGTCCATCATCTTCATCTGCCATTCCTCCACTGTTGGGACTTCTTGTGATTCCCAGTTCTTAGTAACAAAATTCTAGCTGCAATTGTGGCATACAAAAACAATCTAACGTCTTTTGGGGGCAATTCCAAACCTATTATGAGAGGAGGGCATTCCAGTGGCAATGGAAGTGTTGGGGTGGCAGGAGGTGGCATATTCTTGTTTTGCCTCAGGTGATGAAACAGGCCTCAGGCAATGCGCTTTCTGTGTTCCCACTTGCTTGTGACTATCTGTCTGCTTGCCTCCCCCTCTAACCTGGAAAGACCACTGGGAGAAACAAAGAGAGAGAGAGAGAGAAAAACACCATTGTGCACCTGTAGCAGCAAAACTGGATGATTTCCTCTGCCCCACCTGCAATAAAACATGTCTCTCCCATATCGGTCTCCACAGTCATAGCAGGCACTGAAACTTTCCAGTGATTTGACTTTACCCCTGAAGGGCCACTCTTCCATTGTCTCCCGAGACAGACGGATGCCAACAAAATTTATTGGATACTGTTCTTGTTGGCTTTTCATATGGATTTAATTCTTACTGTTTTAACATTGCATTTTGTTATTTTTTTGTACAGCCCCACAACATTCAAATGATGGGCTGTTTATAAATGATTTAAACAAAATAACCCCACAGAACAATTCTAACTATGTCAACTTAGACTTAGGTCTTACTGAATTCAGATGGGCTTATTCTCAGGTAAGTGGGGTTTGGATTGCACTTAACCATTTAAAAAAAGAAGAAGCTGAGGCCTGGATTCTCCAACAATAGTCAGCTGTTTTATCAACAAAACAAACAAAAATTAGGGGTTCTTTTTCCCAGGCTTCCTTGGAAAGCAGATGGAGTTTCCTGCAATAATTAACTCTTCACTCCCTCAGTACTGTTGCATTCACTTTAACACAGTATTAAATAAAAATGATAAAAACAATAGGAAACAGACATAACAGTGGAATACAAAAGGGATGGGTGGGGGTGGGGGTAGAGACTCCACATAATTTCAAAGTGCTTGTGTTTGAAACATGGGTGTTCTCATTTGAAATAACATTACAAGACTCTGACTATTCACTGGCATTCCACACATTGGCTGGCAAAACCAATTCCGATATGCACTATGTGTTAAGTTTATAAAACTGCAAGATAGAAGACTTTCCAGGAATGATAAAGCCACAAGGGATCTCAGAACTGACTATGATCCTTGCACTGCAGCAGCAGCATTGATTTTCTGAGGGGAATTCTTGCAACAAGAAGAAAGCAATAGGTATGTTAGAAAAATGGCTTAGAGCACAGGTTTCTTTGATTTTTATGGCCCTCTTCCAACAGCAATGAATAATACACCTCAAAAATATTGTACTGAATTCTGCAACAGAGGGCACTGCTACCACTGAAACTGTTTCAATGTCAACTGTGAGCATAAAAGGCTTTACATAAATATTGAGTCTCCGGGGAAGGGGCCTTCTGAAGCATTCAATAAGATGTTCATTATTGCAGCTTTAATACAAGAATGTGGAAAATGTTATTCAGAGGCAAACAGCAGCAGAACACGAAGGAATTCCAGCGAGGACCTCCAGAGGTGCTTTACTGAGCCTGATATAGGTGGCCAAGTCATCAATGAAGGAGCAATGCCCAAATGGGTCATTTATTTGGAGAGGACCAAAAGTTAGGACCAAAAGGTTACAGACTCCACTAACCCAGAAATAGTGCTTCAGGTTAAGAACTTTGCTTCAGGATGAGAACAGAAATTGTGTTCCAGCGGTGCAGCAGCAGCAGGAGGCCCCATTAGCTAAAGTGGTGCTTCAGGTTAAGAACAGTTTCAGGTTAAGAACGGACCTCCGGAATGAATTAAGTTCTTAACCCGAGGTACCACTGTATATTCAAGTGTGCAGAATATATTTGATCTGCAGGTGCAGATTTTATTTATTTATATTAAATTTCTATACTGTCCTTCATCGGAGGATAAGTGAGTTGTGGGCAACTTACAGCTGTCAGGAGCAATGCAGAACAGAATTCCAAACAAAAACATGCTCTCTTAAGCCCACATTCCCAATGTATTCACACTTCTGTCTCAGTGATGTCTACGCTGGCTTGATAATGTCCACAGAATGGAAGAGGGCAGAATCCCCGAGGATGTGCTCTGTGAGGAGCTGGCTTCCGGTACCAGACCAGTTGGCAGACAAACTCTGTCCTACAAAGATGTCTGTAAACCTAACGTGAAGCCTGGCAATGCCAACCTTGCCATGGAGGAATCCCTTGCAAATGACCACAGTGCCTGGAGAGAGGCAGTCAAGTTGTGTATCCATAGCAGTGACCGGAGGAGAAATGACTGCTGGGAGGAGAAATGCCATGGTGCATTTGCAGCAGCAGAACTGGACGCCTTCACCTGCTCCAGCTTCAACAAAACATGTCTCTCCTGCATCAGTCTCTACAGCAGGTGCTGCAACCTTCCAACAGCTTGATTTTGCCCCCCCTCCAGGTGTACTCCTCCATTGTATCCCAAGACAGATAGACGCCAGCAGCATTGTTTAAAACTCATTTCATCTTCCATGGAAACTACGAGAACTGTGGTTTCTGGAAGGGCTAGAAAGGATCTCGGAGTATTCTTTGCATTCTCAGGAAATTATAATTCCCCGGGTTATTTTGGGGAAGGCACAACTGTTGTACTTATATAAAACTGATATATGTTTGAGGCGTAAAAATGTTCTCAGTGTTTCTGCCAGTCATTATGCTGTTGCTAATCTCTGATTCAAGCAAAACCAAATTTACTCTGAAATGGGTATGTGAACTAAATGTGTCACTCTCCACTTTCAGGTGACTAAGATTTTATGTCTCAACATGGAAAGTGGCATGTTTGAATCAGAAGGGGCATAGTTGTTTGCGACAGGAGCAACTTTCCAAAATCTCATCTTTTAACAAAAGTGTAATCGTCGCTGTACAGGCATGCTGAAAATCAGCCCTGTGAAAATTCATTGGAACAGAATATATAATGGGCATACGGCCATAAAAGAAGGATGATTTGCCCTTTTTACAACCCTGGACATTTGGCTGTTCCACTGCTTCTATTCTGATCTTAGTGCTGCTCGGCTGCTTGGGATCCAGAACACTCTAAACAGCAGAATGAGTCAGTGTGATACTTAATAGATCTTTTATTAACAGGACCATTGACGTATGAATAATGCTGTTGCATAAGTCTTCTCATGCTCTTGGAACTTTAAGCTCTGAATGCTCTTGTGGACCATTTAAAGCATTGGAACGTGCTGTTTCCAGACCTCTAGTACAGAAATAGGTTTCACACCATTTACTTTCATTATCCATATATTTGCTTCCCATAGGCTTGGTTGAGACTTTCTACAAAAAAGAAAAAAAGAGACTTAAAGTGAATTGAAGGAACTTTTTAACTGTTCTTTTACTAATTGGAACAGTAGGGCTATTTTCCTTCCACATAGAAGTACCTGCTTCTCCTTAACACTTATGAGGAAGACACTGTAATCAAAAGTAAACATCTGGAAAAGAAAAAAATCAACTTGAAAGGATAATCATTTTTTCTATAAACCATTAATACCCTTTCAAATTTCCCTTCCCACAATGTAAAGGCAGCATCAAAATCCATTTGACCAAAAGAGCAACGTCAACTCTGTAGAAGACATTAAAAGATTAGGGAAGCTTTAATAGCAATTAATTAATGCAACCTGGAGCCTATTGATAAGTTTAGGGTGAAAAGTCATACTTTCCCCCTTATCTGCATGAAGGTTTATCTGTTCTTTGCTATCCCGACTTTGAATAATTCATTTTTGAATCTCACGCATTTCCAAATACCTGCACCCTTTCCACTTATACCAAGAGAGAATTCTTCTGCTTCAGAGACTTAATGTGTTTAGATAAGGAAATGTCAGATCTTTATTCGCATTAAAATCAAATGAGACATTACTTTTGAGAATGCTTTTTTGGCCAGTGAGGACACAAAAAAAGAGGCATTTCTGTTCATGGGCGTAGCCAGGATTTTTGTTGGGGGGGGCAGGATTTTGTTAAGGGGGTGGTGGATTTTTTTTTTTGGGGGGGAGAACCAATGCGATTGGTCAGTTAGTTAAGCATTTCTATTGTTTTACTTGATCTAGTGGGGAGAGCTGTCCCCCTGGCTATGCCCATGTTTCTGCTTTAGAGTAGTCTTTTGCATGCTGCTTTTCCCCACCAAGGCTATGAGGCAAGACTTAAGAATCAGGCCCAAAATAATCCTCAGCTTTGCTCTAGTTATATGCAAATGGCTGAACTGTGCCAAAATAAGCAACAAACTGGGCCATTCTCTTGAGACCATTCTAGTTTGTTCACAGTATTTATGATTTGGGTAGCCATATGCTGTGTATGAGTTTATGGGGGCATGTTTGTCCTTAGAGAACTGCCATCCCCACAAGGATTTAGAACAGTGCCTTCCAGTTGTTGTTGTGATATGGCCAATATTCAGGTATGATGGGAGCTACAGATCCCCTATCTTGGATTTAGACCATTGTGCCAACTCTTCCATCTCTCTGTATTTTGTTTTGTTTTTTTAAAAAATAATAATATATGATTTTCAGTTATATACATTTCAGTAGTTTTACAGTCATTTTAACATTTCAAAACTCAACTTCCTTCCTCCTCTTTCTGTGGTTCCTTAAATTTATTTTTATCATTTCCTGCATTTTCTAAATTAACTTAACTTCTTCTTTTATTCACCTACTTTAATTATTTAATTATTTTCTCTTATGAAACCGCAGGTTATTACAATAATCCTGCCAGTGTCCTTATCTGTTTACAATTTATTTGTACATATCCAATAAACCATTTCTATTCTTTTATAAAAAGTTTGCTATCTAGATTTCTTATTTTTCCAGTAAGTTTCGCCATTTCTTCATAGTCCATAAGTTTTTGTATCCATTCTTCTTTCATTGGGACTTCTTCTTTCCATTTTTGGGCAAATAATATTCTTGCCACTGTAGTTGCATACATGAATAAATTTCTATACTGTTTAGGGAGTTCTATCCCTATAATTCCCAGAAGAAAAGCTTCTGGGTTTTTTGTTTGTTTTGTTTTTTACAAATGTTATCTTAAACATCCTTTTCAATTCATTATATATCATTTCCCAGTAAGCTTTAACCTTACTGCAAGACCACCACATACAATAAAAGTTAAAGGTATATTGCAGGGGTGGGAAAATTTATTCAGCCCGAGGGCCACATGAGGAGCCTTCAGGGGGCCACCCACCATTAGGAGGTGTGGCCAAAAACAACAAGTGGGTGGAGCAATAGATGTGACACGTACAGTAGGTTACATTCCAGCCATGCAAAAGTCAGAGGCTTCTACACACACACACACACACACACCCCTTGTACATTTCTTGATCCAAGCAAGCAGTGGGCAATATCATAGTCCAAGGACACCTGCCAATCTTCATTTTGTTTTTCTGCTCGGGGGGCAAATATGCTCTAATGAAGGCAAGATATACGAAAAATACGAAGGCCTATTCCTGGATACTTTGAAGGTTACCTTGATTCCCACCACTACAAAAAAACAACAGCATTTGAAGACTTTTCATTGTCGATTATTTATACCTCAGAGTAACTGCCCCGTGCTGATAAGACATGTGAGTATGTACCTGTGCATGCAAAAAAAGGGCTTATGCCTTTTATGTGCAGATCAGAATCAGACACCCACTCATATTTTTTTATATAACAACAGGCATTACTTAGAATCAGGTGTTCAGAGGGCGGGGGAATTGTGCCTCTTGTCTCCCTAAGTGGCAATTCTGGAAATAAATCCACAGTGGTTTGCAACCATAAAAAGCTGGCTGAGATATTTTCTCAACCAAAGACATATGGAATAAAGCTAAATGACTTGAACTATACAAGATGTGTAATAAATAAGTGCAATAAATTTCAAGCAACATATTGAATGCATTCTCCTACTGTTCTTATGAATGTAAATTATTATGCAAATTAAATTTCTGATAGTAATGTAGCCAGAATGCAGCAGTACTTCAGGGTCCCACAGAAGACAATTGGGCTTCATCTATAAATGTGGCAATCTCTTCGGTATGATCTATGAGTTCATTATAAGAACTCTATATTGAGGCAGGTCCGATAGGACTGGTGTTAACTATCTCTGCTGTATCTAAATTTTATGGTATAGATTATTAAATAGTAATAATGCTTGAATGAAGAGTGCAAGCTGTTGAAAGAAAGAAAGAAAGAAAGAAAGAAAGAAAGAAAGAAAGAAAGAAAGAAAGAAAAGGAACAGGGAATACCATAAATCAGAAAGTGGGCTGTCTTAACTTCATACTGCAAACATCTTGTGTTTGAATTCCCTATTGCTTAGTGCTCAATTCAGTCTTAACGTTGCATTAACCCTAGATCTTTCAATTAACCTCCCTGCTTTGTTTTAATTTATTAGAAAGAAGTATAAATGAAGTCCCTAATTCTTTTACTCATCATAGAGCATTAATTGGCCAAAAGTAGACAAATTGTCTTTGAACACTTTAACTGGTCTGAATTTCAGTTAGAAAATGTAACCCTTTAGCTTCCTTGGCATTAGTGGCATTAAGAATTCCACTGATTCCCCCCCTTAATTTAAATGAGTAGATTTCCTTTTTTTAATGTTGCACACACACCTCAAACTACTGACAAATTACCAGCTAAATCCCTAATAATTGCTGTATACTGTATTGGACTTGAAATTGTAAATAAATAAACATGCTTCAGACAAGTTCACCTTCATAATATTGGCTGTTATTACAGCCCATATACAGCGACAATGTGATCGTTCTGTTTTTCATAATTGCTGTTGTTAGCATTTATCTTTCTCAGGAGATTCCAGGGGTTCCAGTGCTTACCCGGGGTTCAGTTTCCTTGAAATGAAGGTCAATGATGTCTGTAAGACATATAATTTTATTTGCACAGTTATACAGTCTGAGCATAGGATGGAAGGGGAACAGTATTAACACTTCAACAGTGCTTGCTTCCCCATTAGGTTTCAGCAAAGTCACCCCCTTTCAAAGCCATAGCTTTGGGGTTCAGCCCAGATAAATGGTCAAGCCACTTCTTCCAGCTTCCAGCCAAGCCAAAAACTCATACAAAACACTAGCTCCCTTGGCCTATAGTTCTTTTTCTAGGACAAGGTGGCATCTAGCCAGGTAAGATTGGGAAAGGCCCACTCCCACTTCCTGGAAGCATCTCACTTAGTAGTTGCTATGGCAACATGGCTCACTCTTAGAGATGCTGAAGAGGCCAGCTAAGCCCACTAGCCTAACGAAGAAACTGGTCTGCCCAGTTCATCGGGTTCTTCCTATGGATTTTTATTTTATTTTTTATTAAATTTGTATACCCTATACCCGCAGGTCTCAGGGGGGAAGAACTCTATTTGGGGGTCATTTTCCTTCTCACTTTGTGGTAGTGTAGGTGCTGAAACACAGTTGCTTCCTGTCAGTCAGGTGGTGTGCTCCTTCTTCCAAAGCCATTTTAGCCCTCCTGAAATTTGGGACAATGCTGGAATAAAAAGGAGCCTGGGCACCTCCTATGTGAGCTGTGGTTTCCAACTTGATCAGTGAGGGAAGGATCTGAGCTGCATCAGAAACATTCCCATAACGTTCTCACAGATACACTGTAAGCCCTCTTTGCAATTCAGAGGAGCTACTTGGCTGACCAATGGCATCAGATCAGCCACTAGCAAATGGAGATGTATTTGCTTGGCATATTTGTTCAGAGATATGCTGCCCTCTGCAGGTGAATTTACTCTTCTGTACCAACAGCAGGTATTTCATGTCCACTTGTTTGGATGGAACATAGTGGGGAGAGGAGAAAAAGTGCAATGTCTCTGTATAGAAAATCAAATGCACTTCCACTTGTAGCTCACACAGGGTGAGGGAATGACTAGTTGCCTAGGAACCATCCCTCTGAAACCAGCCTATTTGTGATGCAGAAGATGGCAAGAATGTCTATCTTTTTCTTTTTAAGGATTTAAAAGCACCTTTGGTTGTGTTGAAAAAGAAAGATGGCGCCAAGCTCTTTCTAATGTATATAATGACAATATTTGCGTTAAATTAAGGAAGCTATGAACTGGTGAATCTATGAAAGGAAACCTATATTTCAAGGCAGAAATAAGTCGCAGGCCAACAAGCAAGTATTTACAGCCATTCAAACATGGTAATATCAATGGACAAACTAAAGGAATGAGAAGTGAGAAAATAACATTTCTTAGAACTATTAAGAATATGAAAATAACAGACTTTAACAATGGAAGAAGTATGAGTTGAAAAGAAAGGAGAATAAATATTTCTGGCAGGAGGAGGAAATTGAAAGAGAAGCAACTGAATAAAACTAAGACAAAGAAGAGGAAACATTACAAATTAAGTTTTAGGCAACTCAGGCAGTGTGTGTGGGGTAGTTATTCAAGTGTGGAGAAAACAAATAGGCAGAAATATTAGAAAAAGGAGAGGGGTGTGTGCTTTATTTTGTATAATTTATTTATTTATTGTCTTTGAATTATGTTTGGAATATTGATTTGGCTTTCTTTGTATACGTCATATGTTGTTCTGAGATTTCATTATTCTGTAATTGATGTTTATATTGTATATTGATTTATGTGCACGCACATGGGTTCTATTGTATTTGATCTCTATTTTGTACATGACTTTGTTATTCTTTTGTATGGTATTGGAACTCTACTTTGTAAAATGTTTTGTAATTCTGTCCTGTTGTATTTGATGTCAATCTTCTGCACATCACTGAGATTCTTTTGACTACGAAACGCTTAAGAAGTTCCAAAACTAAGATTTTGTCAAAGATGTATAACTTGCTGTTGAAATGGAATACTCAGGATGAAACGGTGAAATCTGCTATGATTAAATGGGCTCAAGATGTTGGACATAACATAATGATGGCTGATTGGGAACAGTTATGGACCACAGGTATGAAGTTTACGGCATGCAATGCCTTAAGAGAGAATAATATGAAAATGATATACAGGTGGTACATGACACCAGTCAAGCTTGCAAAAATCTATCATTTGCCCGACAATAAATGTTGGAAATGTAAATAAACTGAAGGTACATTCTTTCACCTTTGGTGGACGTGCCCAAGGATTAAGGCTTTCTGGGAGATGATCTATAATGAATTGAAAAAGGTATTTAAATATACCTTCTTGAAGAAACCAGAGGCCTTTCTCCTAGGCATGGTCGGCCAAATGGTGCCAAAGAAGGACAGAACTTTCTTTATGTATGCCACAACAGCAGCAAGAATACTTATTGCAAAGTATTGGAAGACACAAGAACTACCCACTCTGGAAGAATGGCAGATGAAGGTGATGGACTACATGGAATTGGCGGAAATGACTGGCAGAATCCGAGACCAGGGAGAAGAGTTGGTGGAAGAAGATTGGAAGAAATTTAAAGACTATCTACAGAAATATTGCAAAATTAATGAATGTTAGAATGATGTTAGAATGAAGTTAGGTGGTTTAAACAGTAATGGTGTATGTAAAAATGGATTGATAACAGGTGAAAATTTAAAGTTATAGTATATTAAGTTAAAGGATTAAGAGAAAATAAAGAGGGAAAGAAATTGCTGAATTAACTAATTGAATTGGAATACAAAAAAGGGAGGTATGAGGAGGTCAGGGAAACAAGGATATGAATGTAAGGCATGGAAAGATTGATCTATTTTTTTAAAGTGTTTTTTATTCTTTTCTGTATTTTGTATTTTTCTTGTATTTTTATTTCTGTCTTTTGTTTTTGCTTTTCTTGTTTTTATGTAACTCTTTTTTCTGAAATTTTAATAAATATCATTAAAAAAAAAAAGAAACGCTTAAGAAGTTTTACAAATAAGGTAAAAAACAACTGTTGAGAAATGTTTGCAGGTGAAAATAGCCAAAACAGCATGAGATTCAAAAGTAGATGAAGAAGGTGGCAGACTATCAATAAGACTATCTCTTCTCCACTACCATCAGCAGTTAGAAAGTATGGAAAGAACAGAAAACTAAATAAAATGGCTGAAAGTAACATACATAATTTTATTTCTATGTATAGTTAACTTTCTATAGTTAAAACCATGCTCAAAGTAGCTTACAACATGAAAAAATACACAGTTACAAGCATAACTGTTGGGTACTGTTGCGGTTGCTCAAGAGTAATCAGGCAGGACTCTGAGCTGTCTTTTACAGGCTTTATTTTGGTGCAAACTATTTGTGATTCGAGGACCCGATCCCCCTTCGGGAATAAAGACACGTGGACACATAATGTAAGGTTAATGGGTAAGGTAAAGGCCACAACTTTGTTGATTACAGCATGTGAGAAGGTACTGGCTTAGGCACTGGACCACGGAACATTAGACTCCACCCACTCGTAGAGGGGTAAGTCTGAGAAGGGGTTAACCACCAGTAGGGAAGCCTGTTGATGCTAATCCAACTATAGGCTCTCTTCCTGATGTCACCGAGGGTCGTGCCATGGCCCCCCGCCACACGGGTATCGGACAGGATCCACAACCACCGGATTCCTTTAGCGGAATACCCAAAATTGTCGGGGAAGGCGATGGCCACACCTTGCCCCCCGAAACACCAACAACACATTCCAATGCCCAACCGCCGAATACCACGAAAGTTGTGACGGTTGCTACGAGGTAGGCAAAAAAAACCAAGAGGCCGGGCCAATTTAGCCAATTGGAAAAACTCCTACCAGGCCCCTGGTTAAACAGGGCGACCAACCAGAGGTCCATAGCAAAGTCTCAGGAACAGCTAATCTAAAGGGAGTGGAGGGTGGGTGACTCGAAGAAAATGTGCAAGCCACGCCCCGCCAAGCTTCCCTATTGGGTGCCCAACCGGGGAGGGGCGTGGCGCCAGCCCTGGAGTTGAAGCAGGGGGGCGGAGCGCCCCCTGCATGACGCAGGAATCGTCTCCCGCTCACAACCCCTTCCCTCCTGGGAGTAGGAAAGGCTTTACAGTGAAGAGCGTCATAAGTTCATGTCTGGCTCAATCGCTAGCAGAATCCAGGAGTGGTCTGTTTTTGTACCTACCCCAACATAAAATTTTCGTTACCCCAGCCTTTTCCGCCTATACCTGAGCCTCAAACTACTGCGCATGATGGGCGATGGCAAGGGCGTGCCTCCCTCCTCGTCGGCTTGCTTAGGAGCGGTGTTAAGGATCTCACTAGCATCCCCTGGTCCTTGCACCTCTTCTCCACTGGAGGTGGGGCTTTCCTCCTCTCCGGAAGAGGAACTGCTTCACAAGATTTTCGGAGGCTCCCTGTAACATAACTGTCCCTCCATCTCTCCTCTGATCCGATGGCAGTTCCCTGACAATAACAACATAAGTAGTTATAAACAGTAAATATATTGTTGGGTGGGGTGTAAATAATAAAATTATTTTTATCATTAAATAAAACATCGAAAGGTACACAACCAAATTAAAACAATTCCCACATAAATCATAATATCTAAAATAAAGATTGCAAGAAGATCACACCTATCCATTCTTAAGGAAAGCAGCCCTGAGTGCTCACTGGAAGGACAGATTGTGAAGCTGAGGCTCCAATACTTTGGCCACCTCATGAGAAGAGAAGACTCCATGGAAAAGACCCTGATGTTGGGAAAGATGGAGGGCGCAAGGAGAAGGGGACGACAAGAGGATGAGATGGTTGGACAGTGTTCTCGAAGCTACCAGCATGAGTTTGACAAAACTGCGGGAGGCAGTGGAAGACAGGAGTGCCTGGCGTGCTCTGGTCCATGGGGTCACGAAGAGTAAGACATGACTAAATGACTAAACAACAAAATAAAGATACAAAAATAATAATATCGATACCAGCATAAAATATACACCCAACAAAACTCCTAAATGACATTCCAGCCCAAGAATCTGTTCAGCAGCCTCAGCTTTTGCAGCTGGAGTCGGTCAAGACCCTGCCTTCCCAAGCCAGGTGGGGAAAGGCCTGCAAGGCAGACACCAGGTCTTCCAGGACTCACAGCTGAGATGGTTGGGCTATCACCATACCCCCAAATACT